AGGTACTAAACTAAGCTAACTATCCTCTTGAAACAGCTTTCCTAGCTCTTTCCAAAGCTACATGATGACATGTTAAATTGGTAATATATTTGTATATTCATCTGATGTTGTCACCAATCTTGCCATTACCTTCACCCCTTGTTCTTAGATCACACATGGAAGTATAAAGGTAGACTTAAGCTAAGCTATTTTATTTCACAATCACGTTGATGAACTGCTGCCTCAAAGCAGCACCACAGTCTCCATCAAATGAACATAAGCTAGTTCATCCATGCATTGCTCATCTCCTAACTGTTTAATTACTGTTCTTATCTTCACAGGATGTGACCTCAGCTTTGTGCTCAGTCTTGAGGATGAACCTTGCTGCATCCCTGCTGTAGTGCTGGAGGCTGGGGGATTTCCTTTTGGTGTCTTGAGGGCAATGGATACTTTATACATGAAAAAACTTGAAGAATAGTAGGCTATGTTCTAAACAGCATTACAGATATGTGTATGTGCATGATTACAGTAATGTAGTATTTTTTTTGTATACCAAGCGATTTATGTTTCCATAGCTGTGTAAATGTAAAAGTTATCATTAAAATGAAGTTGAAAGCAACAATAAAATAAATTTGAGGTACTGTTATCTGTTGCACAAGGAGAATGTATTTGCTGATTGTGTAGTAGGTTTGCAGTTTAAAAGACTATGTTTGCATTTATCAATGTTTTTGTGTCTGTTAAGCATCCATGAGAACATTTAGCAAAAGAGAGGTGAGCACCATACAGCAAGCATGACTAGTGTGTGTGTGTGTGTGTGTGTGTGTGTGTGTGTGTGTGTGTGCGTGTGTGTGTGTGTGTGTGTGAGAACCATGTCCAGTGCTTTAGCAGGGCACTGTAGCGTGCAGTGCAGGAGTGAGCAGAGGCGGCCCAGGCCAGGACAGCCCGAGCACCCTGATAATCCCTGCGTTTTCAGGAGCCCTGGCCCGTACTTGATGAGCTTGAGCAAGAAAAAGGTTGCGCTCTCTCGTGTGTTGCTCTCTCTTTTCCCTCTCTTTCTTTTCTGTCTTTCACTCTTTTATTCCCTCTCTTTTTCTCAGGCACCCCCACACCTCTCTGTCCCCTGGAGCCACTTTGCGATTGAATGAATTCTAAGTGTTTACTCAGCAACTCTGCATATCCCTCTAGATAGTTGTTAAATATAAATATAAATATGTAATAATGATATTTGTTAAGTATATAAGAGTATAAATAACTTTATTTATATAGCACTGTCTTAACAAGGTTACAAAGTGCTTTACAAAAAGTACAGTAATAAAAAAGAAATTGAATGAAAAGCATCACATATAAGACAGGTTTAAAATAGCAGAAAGGAAAGTTTCAAAAGAGGATTTAACAGAAGCTTAAGATATGCCCTGACTAATTGTTATCTGCAGAGTGCTCAGTGGACTGAGGGCTCAGATTACAAAGGTGCTGTAATTTTTGTAACTGGGAAGATCCAGCAGAGCTTCATCCACTGATATTCAATTATATTTTATTATTCATTATTATTATTATTATTATTACATAATTATTGTATATTATTATCTTCAATAATTCTCAGGAAAGTTAAATGTCAGTATACATTTTATACAGTTTGCAGCAATACAATATAAAGCCTTGAAACTGGTTAATTTAATTTTGAAATCAATATGAGAAAAAAAACAGGCAGCCAGTGTAATCGGGCTTAGGGGTTATATGTTTGCATTTCTTGGTGCCATTTAAAATTAGAGCAGCTGTGTTCTGAACAAGTTGGTATCCTTTGAGGGAGCTTGTGCTGACACAGGTATAAAGTGCATTACTGTGGTCCAAGTGGGAAAAGAGATGCATGGATTACTTTGTGCAAATCAGCAGGAGACAGGAACGATTGCTACTTGGAAATTTGTTAAAGATTAAAAACATCAAGACTGGACAACCTTCTTTCTATTCCTCACAGGTTTTTGGCATTCAGTTTGATGCTATTGTTACATGAACCACTGTTTATTTACCGTGGAGAAGGCATGAGGAATACATTTGCCCAAATGTGTTTGAGAAGAAGTGAAGTACCTAAAACCGACCCAGGTTCCAGGAGATTGCATGAAAACTTTATTTTTATCAAATATGTATATGTAAAAATGTTGCATGCATTATTTGGAATTTAAGCAATATTAGAAAACACAATTCTACATGCAAGTGCTTGTTGGTACTTTGGGCTTTGTCCAAAATATTCAAACTGATCATCCTGTGTAAGAGTGCACCTAGAGCATAGAGGTGCAGTGAGGTACAGGGAGGCTCTAGTGGGCTGGTTCAGGAGGAGAGGGGATTAGTAAGAGGCCGCAGGCCCTGAGGCAGAGGGCCTATTTCCTGGCCTGAGCCCCTGTTTGTCCTGCCTGACCTGGCAGCTCTGGGGGCAGATCCTGCTTGGATACAGCCCGCTCCCACGCTTGTCTGAAGCTGTTAGCCACTGGCTGTGAGTCGCTAGCTGGGCTTAGTGGTGTCTGAGCTGTGGCTGGGTTGGGGAGGGGTTGATCTATCTGTGAGGGTGGTGGGTAACCAGCTACTATGTGTTGGCAGAGATATGAAGGGGAAATTGTATAGTTATGATTAATGGCTTTGGAATGACTATGGCCATCATATTTTTCATACACAGCATGGCCTGTAGATCTGGAAAGGAAGGCGTCGAATGCTTCAAAATACAATTCTTGGCCAAAGGAAATCACAAGGAGGATTTAATTTTGAGTTGTATTATATATCCGAATGCTTCGCCCCCTTGAAAGGATCCAAGTACACCATGGCTCGAGATTGAACGTTCTATTGTCAGTCCTTATAAATTGGATGAAGTCCTGTTTCCTGGCCCGGGAAAATTTTAGACCCATTACATCTCACTGTATAATGATTTGGCAGCATGCTGCAAAGTTGGGGGACTGGGATGTGAAACGGCTCACACATACGCCGATTTAAAAAAAAAAAAAAAAGCTACTTTGTCTAGATCGTAGACCCATGGCCTTTCCTTCTTGGTCTAAAGGGTGGTATCAACACTCTTTCTCACGTCATCAACAATGACAGGCTAAGATCATTTGAGGATCTGAATGGAAATTATAACTTACCATCAACCTCATTTTTCTTTTGCTTTGCAGCTGAGGCCAGTCTTTCAAGCTCATAGGGTCCCATGAAAAGGAGCTCTTACGACACATCCACTCATTATTTATATGTTCACCGAAACCAAAGGTATGGGCTTTGTGTCTAATATGTACAAGAAATTACAGCTTGGTCAATAGGAGTGACCAAGGTTCGGAACTTTGACTTAAATCACTTGCAGGAGCCCATTAATTAGAAAAGAGTTCAGTAAAATGTGTCTCTCTCATCCCATAATTACAATTATCAAATGATCAATTTCAAATTCATCCATAGATTTGATTTAACTCTAAGAAAACACTTCCAACTTCAGCTTTGCCTGTCACCCATTTGCACGTTATGTAGTTGTAATGAAGTGGGAACCTATGTAATGTGCACTGTCCAGAGGTATAGCAATTTTGGTCTAGAGTATTACACATGTTATCTGATGTTACAGGGATGCATATTTCTTTGTCACCCACTGTGTTACTCCTGAATGATTACTTTATTAAGTATCTCCAAATCACAGGAAAGAGTACTACTTTTAGGTCCAACAGCCGCTAAAAAGCTCTTAGTATTAAGATGGAAGCCCTCACACTAAGCTCGAGATAAAGCATTGGACTCTTTTACGACGGGACATAATTTACTTGAAACTTTAAATAGCTAGAACTAATGGTGCTAAGGACAGTTCAAAACAATCTCTGTCCAGGGCTCTAGAGGAAATTAATTCTAACTACAGAATATTACACAATCCATGCAATCTTTGCAAAAAGTTATGATGACGTTTGGTTGTTCTGCCCAAGATATAATAAAATGTACTGTCCTTTTGTTCAATTATTATTATTATTTATTGTATTTCATGCAGTCTTTATCTATCTCCATCAAGAAATTCACAACAGTTAAAAAAAAAAAAAACTACTCTCATCACGTTGTTTAAAGTGGTGGCAGCAGGTCAGCTCCCTGTGTACCTTTCTAATTACCTCCAACCCTCTATTTGTCTGTATCAATTAGAAGCACTATCATGTTTGTGTTTAAAGGGTTTTGCCTGCGAAGCAATTGTGTGCAGAAGTGTGTTTTTACTTAAAAATCCATAAGATAACACCTCTTCTGTCGGGCCAGGGGTCTGTTTGATTATCACTCTTCAAAAATGAAAATGAAATGAAGGGATATTTACTTTTCTTCCACCAAAAGCTTTGATAGCTCAATTGCTTGTTTTCAGTGGCTTGTTTTTATCTTTCAATTGGTGGATTGGCTGTTGGGTTTGGAGTAGCACAGAGCAGCTCTGTGAGTGTTGTTTCTGCCCTGGATATACACAGAACTGGCAGTGAAAGCATGAGGGAACAGAGAGAGAGAGAGAGAGAGAGCGATAGAGATGGAGGGATGGAGGGCTCATAAGTAAATCTCTGTTAGTGGCTTTTCTTTTAATGTTCAGGTTTGGCCTTTTACTCATCACTTAAGCAGGAAGTATGGATATTTACTGTGGGCTATGAGAGCTTTAACAAGCCCTTTTTCCTAGATTCCCTTTCTAAAAACATTTAGGGAGGACAGAACACAAAAACCGAATCCATGTGACAGAAAAACAACCTGAACTCTATAAAGATAGCGTGATTTTATTGTCAAATCGGGATATCATGGGTCTGGGGGGTAGGCTACTAAAATGTCCTTTTAGGTTTTGTCTTTCTGCCTCTAGCTAGTGACGTCACACCTGCCCCGCTTTATATAACTGTCAGCGCCTCCCTCTCACCTGGACTGACACAAACCACCCAGACATTAGAGCAGGACACACAGGGGCTACCTTATGTCGAAAGCAGTGTTCCGTCACCTGTGTCTCTAAAGGGCATTTTCTGAACTTTGTTTTTCAAAAAAGAAAAGGAGAAATACTTGTTTCTTTTATGAATCTGGCAAGTTATTCTTACTTCTCTGGCATGTGCAACATGACCGCAGAGACGCAGCACTCGCCCGCGGAGGCAAGTCCTGTAGTCATGTCCCCAAACGTGAGCCTGGACTCTCCGCTGCCTCCGCCGCCTCTCATGCTGCAGGCACGGTCGAAGGACAACATCCTGATCAAGTCAGAGCCCCGGGGGAGCAGCCCCAACACAGAGGATGGAGCCGCCCTGGGGCAGACCGAGGAGCACCTGCCAACTGGAGGGAGCAGGCGGAGGAAAAGGCCCGTCCAGAGGGGCAAACCTCCCTACAGTTACATTGCCCTCATCGCCATGGCCATCGCAAACTCCCCCGAGAGGAAGCTCACCCTGGGGGGCATTTACAAGTTCATCATGGAGCGTTTTCCTTTCTACAGAGAGAACTCAAAGAAGTGGCAGAACTCCATCCGCCACAACCTCACCCTGAACGACTGCTTCGTGAAGATCCCTCGGGAGCCCGGCAGACCCGGGAAAGGGAACTACTGGACGTTAGACCCGGCGGCTGAGGACATGTTTGATAATGGAAGCTTTCTAAGGAGGAGGAAGCGGTTCAAGCGCACAGATGTGAGCACCTACCCCGGGTACATGCAGAGCTCCAGCGCCTTCACGCCGACCCCTATGGGCAGGCCAACGTACCCCAACACCTGTACGCGGGGATAGGGTCTGGGTATGGGTCCCAGCTGACCGCCACATCCCCGCATCCTGCCATGCTGCATCACTACCAGACCTCTGGACAAGCCCAGCCGCGCATGTTCAGCATCGACAACATCATCAGCCAGCAGACAGTGGTGCAGGGCGGAGATCTAAACTCCCAAGCTCTGGGGCTGCATGGCGGAGCTGACCTCGGCACCATGACCTCCAGCTGTTCAGTCACCGGCAACGACCCCTCCGCGTGCTTCCAAACCCAGACTGTTAACCCCTCTGCGAACATGCTGAGCAGGAACACCGGGAACCTCACGTCAAACCTCGGTGGAGCGTACCCATACTCCTCACCGGCCTCCCCTCCAACTTTGCCAGCCATGACCCAGTCCGGGTTCTCCCCCGGAAACTCTCAGGTGTACTGCTCCGGGAACAGGCTGCCCCTGCCAGCCCTGCGTCCAGGCTCGTGCGCGGATCACACAGAGCAGCTGCTGGGCCTCTCGAGCCCCATGAACTCCTACAACAACAGCTACATGAGACAGGCCAATTTTGCGTCAGGGTTAGAGCGCTACATGTGAGACATTATACGCCCTCTAAACCCTGATTAATTATAATTGACTACATTTGCCCTTATAAAGGAGTGTTCCCTCTAAAAGTAGCCTACAGGTCTGATATCGTCACGAAGTCCTTTTCCATTTCTTTGTATTATTGACCAATAGCTGTAATTTCACCAAAGATTTATTCAACAGACTACTTGTAAATTCCTGTGATGAAATTGGTGAGTCGTTTTAGATCCGAAGACCCACAATAGCCTACTGAAGGACCGAGCCTTATGATAAAACATTCCTGTTTTAAAAGCCATTGAGATCCGTTTGACACATTCTTGACCATTCTCAGTTTTTTTTTTTTTTTATTGCGCCTCTTATATTTAGTGTTTTAGTTCGTTTTGAAGTTTATATGTTTATGTTGCATCTTTTAAGTCTGCTGATGTTGATGTATTCAAACTTACTTTAGAAAAGTGTGTTAATATTGCTGACGACAGGTCGCGTTAAATAAATTCATTTTTTCTTTTTTTACAGTTAAATAAATGTGGTCTTTATTTGTGTGAATGATTAGAATCGGTGAGAGAAAATGATGCTGCTGTTTTATTTAGCTTGTATTTAGCTGTTTTATCTAACGTAGCACATTGTATCCTGTTATTAATTTTAAAGCTATTTGGACAAATAACTACATTTATGTCCTGGATTCACTGTTCTTTATAAGTGTTCAATACAGGAGATATGGAGAAATTACAATTTTGACATGTTGTAAAACAAATCTAGTTGAAGAAATTAAACGGTATTCGAAGGATCATGTTTCATATATTTTCATTTACTAACCAAAGGTAGACATTAGATAAGCAGCACGAATTTTCTTTTTTTATTTAAAGGGTGAATGTTTTTTTTCATTCGAATGTGTTTATGTAAAATGTAGTAGCCTACAAAGAAGACACAAGGGAGGAAAAAAGTTCTAGGGCTTACCTAAAGTCAAAATATTTTACAGTTTAAAAATAAAATAAGCATCACAAAATTAAAAGAAAGAATAGAAAAAAAAAATTAAAATTGTAGTAGTGTAAAGTATTATCGATTAACTAACTGGAGCTGGAACACCTGTAGAAATAAAGTATCGGTGATGCAAAATGTTCAGATTCTTCTTCAATCTGCGCTACAGCCCCTCTACATATCATAAAGACAGAAATGTCTAACTCAGTATTAACACTTTACACTTACACTTTGGAGTATCTGTTAGTTTTTAACACCTGCACACAACCTTTGTCACAGTTGACCTCCCTTGTTTAAATAAATAAATAAATAAATGTTTTATTATAATTTCCTATATATTCCTTATTTTGTTTTATATACCCTCCAGAAGAGTTTCATTTATTAACTCTGACTTTTAGGATCATTTGATTGATTTGTTTCATTGTTACATGTTAAATGGTAGGCTATATCTATGAGTTTTAAGTTGCTCAGAATATTTAAGGCTTATAATTGATTTACATATACATTTTTTAGTGCGCATTCAATATTCATTTGAGTATCAAAACCACAAATCAGGTCATTTTTCAGCTCTCAACAATTATCTACAATAAGCTTTTTGGGTTCAAACTGCATGTTGATTACTTTTCCCTGTTTGTTTTGTTTGGAAAAATGAAACTGCTAAACATGAATTAACTCTCAATAAATAAAATTGATCAAAACCTGAAAACATGACTAACAAACCAAAAAGTCACACGCTTATCATTATTTGTGAAAAGTGCTTCATCTGAAATCATTTAAAAATCAATTAATTAATTAACAGATAAAAGATTAATTGTGACTGCTGGTGACAAAAAAAAAAAAAAAACAGGCTGTTCATTCTTTGAAGCTAGAGTTACAATTTGAAGTATGGAGAGATAAGTCTGTGACTGTGTCAGTGTTAACATGTTGACCTTAATAAATGTTGTACAAAAAGAACAACTCACAAAAGCAATTTACAAGTAGAGACAGAGCGGTCAATATAGAAATGAAAAACTCTCAGTGTGTTGTTTGTCGAGGTTATAAACGTCTGTAGCGATCAACAATGCTGCCAGGCCAAAGGTGAAACTTACAAGACATTTACTGGCCTGGTGTAAGCTAGACAATTACTTATAGTAGGACTGTTAATATTACAGATCATGATAGCCTTACTAAATGTTCTGATGCCCTACTTTTATTCATTGCATCTGCATCTACAGGAGTGCAGAGGTGAATGTACATTGTGCTACATTGTGGTGGGGGTCACTCAAAACAATCAGAAATGGATAAAGAATAGATCATAAATCATTATATGGAGTCACAGCTACTGTTCCTCCAACTTTTTAAGTGGGAAAAACAATACATGTTGGGGCATTGGTAGCCTAGTGGTTAGTGCACACACCCCATGTACAGAGGCTATAGTCCTCCCAGTGGGCGGCCGGGGTTCAAATCCGACCTGTTGCTCCCTTCCTGCATGTCATTCCCCACTCTCTCTCTCTCTCCGCGATTTCTGACTTTATCCACTGTCCTATTTTTAAATAAAAGCTTAAAAAGCACCAAAATTTAAAAAAAAAAAAAAAAAAAAAAACATGTTAGCCCAAGTCCACCTGTTGGGTCTGTCTGACCTTGCTTAGTATCAAACATATAGCTACTGTCAAAAAAACCAAACGTATACATGACTTGTTTGATTTTAAGACAGTGTCTGATGAGTGTGAGGAATTCTTTTTTTTTTTTTTTTTTAAGATTTATTTTTGGGCTTTTGTGCCTTTACTGGAGAGATAGGACAGTGGATAAAGTCGGAAATCGGGGAGGGAGAGAGTGAGGAATGACATGTGGGAAAGGAGCCAAAGGTTGGATTTGAACCTGGGCTGCCCGCTTGGAAGACTACAGCCTCCATACATGGGACGTGTTCACTGCCCACTGCACCACCAGCGCCCCAGGAAATCTTAATGAAAACAAAAACAGAGCTGAATTTACCTTGATCCATATACTTTAAGAATCAGGAATACTTCAATAATGATTCTGATATTTCATGACCGGTAGCTTTACAGATGATTTAAAGCAGTCCTTCCGCCAGTCAGACTCGAAGTGAGGCTTGTTCTGAACCAGACAAACCTCATGATGCCTCCTGTGAAACACAACAACTGTGTTTTCAGTAGCTGCAGATTAGACAACATGTTTGGAGCTGTTATATGTTATGTTATATATTTCCCCCCACTAGATGGAAGCAAAAGCAAGCTAATCAGTCTCTTTTTGCTTGGTGGGTTTGTTGTGATCATGAATCATTACAGCGGTTCTATTCAACATATCAGCACTGAGACCACGCCAAACTATGCAGAGGATAAACCTATTTGAAATAGGCTCGGTTGGATCAGTGCAAGTCTTACACAGAATTGATTGGAAATGATTCAACTGTTATACATATTGTGTGTAATTAACTCCCATTACCTGATTTGTTTTTGCTAGTACCAGAAATTATGTGAGTATTTTTGCAGTGAGTGTTGGTTTCACTTGAAGGGGGGAGGGCAAAGTTGGAGCATTTGTGCACAGAGGTGGTTTGCACTAAATTGTAAGAGAGCTCTGATTCAGTGTCAATTTTTGAGGTAGTTCAAATGGTTTCTTACCATTTGAATTCTTGCAACCAGTAGCAGTGTCCCTTTCCTGAACATTAGAAAGTATGCAGGTTTAAGGCACTTCAACACTGATTATACTTTTGAAACCAGAGACTACGCTTATTTCACAGCTCTAGTTTGATAAACAGGTAAATAAAAATCAAAGAACAATCAAGAAAAACCTTAGCTGCTTTACTACATAACAACTCAGGCAGCACAGGTGTTAATGCATTCAGTGATTTTCTCTCATTTCCCATTGTGCATGACAGTTTGGACTCAAGCTTCACCCCCACAATCAGAAAACTTTCATCACCACACAACCAGGCCCGGAAAATAAAAGACAAAACAACCTGTCCGGTGGACTGTTACATACTGAAAAAACACAACCTACTTAATTTGGAGCGCTTTATGCAATTATGTTTCCTCAAATTAGTTCTAAAATGTATCAACAATCTAGCCCCTGAACCTCTCCCCAGATGTGTTCAAAGACAGGACAGAAAGAGTGTAAGTAGCACAGTAAATGGAAACTTTAACATACAACTACGCAGCTCTACATTTGGACAATCAGCTTTCTCCATCAGAGATTGTAAACTCTGGAACACATTAACATCTGAACTAAAATTAAATTTCAAAAAGGTGAAATGTGGGCTGAAAGCAAATCAGAGAGCTTTCCACTTTTAACTTGAATCTTAAATCTGATATTCAAATTGGTTTATTTCTGTATTGTCATATTGTTGTAAATGTTAAAATACATTTTAATGTATACTCATATAGTGATATGTGGTTGTATGTGATTGAATGTTGAACATTTTTACTCTACTCAGTTTGTTTACCCAAAGGCCCAACTCTGGTAGATCCAAACTCTCCGTGCAGCACATCAGTTTCTGTATTGAAACTATGCGAAATTCCATCGTCCCTATTAAATAGATAAATGCATACAGTCAACTGATGAACTTATACTCAAGATTCTGTTAGTTTATCATTTTGCTCATTACATGAAAAAGACTAAATGCTGGTCTCCAAGCCCCAAACAATGTGTCAGAAAACATGTGACATATAGACACATCAAGATATCTAAAAATATACTAAGGAATACAATCATTTCTAAAAGTACAGTACACAATACTATAAAATAGCTTGGATTAATAAAACAGACAAGGAATCAAACAGGCAGCATACAGTTAGCACCACAGTCATTCACTGAGTGTCTAAAGTGCAGTTAATTTAAGATAAACATGCAGCACAGGTTCATCTGTTTAATATCCCGACAGCCTGGCGCAAATTATTAGTTGATTATTAACATTCAGTAAGATTGCCATATTGGTTCCTCAATCATTTTATTATGAACTAAGCATTCATTTATTGTCAATCTAAATGAAGGGGTTCCTCTTTAACTCTTGATTAACCAGCAGTTAGTTCTTAGTTAGATCC